CCACTGGTGCTGCCCAAACAGCCCAGGGGCTGTGGGTTAAGGCTTTTGTGGCTGCAGACACTGCATCTCCCCAGACAGCCCCCCGCAACCCTTTCCGCCTCCCAAAAATATCCTGCGGTGAGTGGGATGCTCCAGTGATGGTGCCTGGGTCCATGCTGGTGTGGGTGGATGCTCTTTGACTGGGTCCCCATCCCCATGGGTGTGCAGGGGCAGGCGGGTGCGACGTCTTCGGGGACTCCTGCACCCCACAGGGGTGAGAGCCGGCCTCGGGTGGGAGTGCTGGTGATGCCTCCTCGTGTGACACTTCTCATGGCCATGAGTCACCCCAGCACGTTCACCCCAAGCAGAGCTGGAGGGGGAAGTGCCTTCAGCTGGGACACTTCTCCACTGGCCGGTGAGGCAGCCCTGCCTCCATTGGCATGGCACCCTGGACCCCCACATGGTTGGGACTGAGGGATGTGGTGCCGTCCGGGGCCAGAGGAGGGTGATGCTGTGCTCCATTGCCTTGCAGGGATGCCCGGCTGGGAGGTAGGCGACTGAATGGCAGGCATGGAAGGGAGAGGACCCTATCGCATCTATGACCCCGGCGGGGGGACGGAGGAGAATGGATCCACAGCCTTTGAGCGGCTGGTGGAGGAGAACATCCGGCTGAAGGAGAAGATGCAGGGGATCAAGTCTATCGGTAACTGCTGTGTGGCTGGGGGTTTGCCTTTGGGGCAGCTCAGCGTGTGCCCACTGAGCCTGGGGGTTTCTTGCTCTATTTAGGAAGGGTGCTATAAGAAGCTGGGGGTCTTGGCACCAGGGTAGTAGTAAAGCTCTCCCCATCCTGGGGGTTGAGCAGGATGTCTGGGCCTTTTAACACAGAGGTGCAGAGGGAGCAAGGCTTTTGGTGAACTCCTGGGGTGCTTTACAGTGGGATAAATGGCTGAAAAGAAGGCAAGTGATGGAGCAAGGTCAGCTTCCCGGAGTCCTGTATTGGCAGGTTGTGGATGCTGGGATCTGTTCTGCTTTTGATGAAAGCCCCCACCTCCTGCAACCCCGTTGGGTTGGGGCTTTTCCCACGTGCTGCTCAAAGACCCCGGCGCTGGATTATCCCCTCGGCAGCAGGGACGTGTCGGCATTGAAACGCCCCAGTCGAGTTGTGCCACCCCCTTTCTTCTCCTTGGCTGCCTTCCTCCACCCGCCCCCAGTTTTGTTTTCGGTCTCGTGACCCAGCTTCCACTTTCGGGTCCCGCTTCTGCAGCCTAATTTCCACCTGCCTTGTGATTCCTGTCGCGTCGTTGCGCCCTTACCTGGGACCGGGACCCACTGATATGGGAGCAGCTGCCCGGGTGGGGAGAGGATTGCATTGCTGGTGCCAGACCCTGGAGCAGGCAGGCTGGACCCCTAGGTCCACCACCTAGGCTTAAATTTGGCTCTTCGGGGAAGCAGAGGAGACCTTTGAGACATGCAGTGCTGCCCTGCTGCCTCCTGTAACAAGTCCTCTCCGAGTCAGTGTGGGGGACTCTGCAGCCAGCGAGCCACTGATACAGCTTTGCCGTTGGATTTGGCCATTCTTTCTGGATGAAGAAGGACCACGCTGGGCACTTCCACACCCAAGCAGGGGGCTTGGTGTTGGTGGATGGGGCTACTGCAGGGCAGGCACTCGGGGAAGGAGGGTGAGCATCCTTCTATTGCCCACAACAGGAGAGCTGCTGGAGGAGTCCCAGGTGGAGGCATCCAAGCTGCGGCAGAAGGCGGAGGACCTTGTGAAGGACAACAAAATGCTGATGGCATCATCTTCCTTGGAGGACCTGGTGGAAACTGGAGGTAGGAGACACAAGGCTCACGGGGGAGGGATGACCTGATGGCTCAGAATCCTGAGTTCAGGGGAAGGAAGAGGGTGTGAAGGAGACTTTCATGATGGCTTCTTACAGCCCTGTCATCTCTGGAGTGTATCAAACCACTGCAGTTCTCTGGAGTGTATCAAACCACTGCGGTTCTCCCTTCTCCTGGAGGGAGGTTTCTGTCCCGTCCCCATAGCTGGGGTAGAAACCCTCTGTCAGTGCCTGACCTCACAGGCTGTCTGCTCTCTGCATCCCTGCGCCAGGCGGGGAGAGGCTCTGCTCTCCAAAAGGCTCATGGCTACGTCCTCTCCCCTCTCTGCAGCCGTCGGCCCTGATCCCAACTCCACACGGGCTGCCCCGGGCAGCACCCAGCCAGACGCGGAAGCACGGAAATCTCCTCCAAGTGTGAGTCTGGTGAATGCGAGAGCTGGTGCTGGCATGGCCAGAGGGAGAGACTCTCCATCTAGTTAAAGCAAAAGGAGGCAACCTTTAGCCTCTAGAAACAGGGATAAATCTGAAAGGAGGGGTCAGCTTCCATGCTGTGCTCCTGTCCCAGTGGTCCCTGCCTTTGTGAGGTGGGCATCCTGGGTTGCCATTCCCTAGGGAGACCTGACCTGGCTGCCTCCCCTTGCAGGGATCCTCCTCGGAGTTCGAGATTGTCGCCGTCGAAGCACAGGGGTTTCCCCAGGAGAGCGGGAGAGCGGTGAGTAGCCCTGGTGCCTGTGGGACTTGGTGGGCAAGTCAAGCCCGTTGGTGCAGTGGTGGTAGCGGGGGCACGGGAGGGTGTGCAGACAGGCAGCAGCATGCCCCGGTGGCGTAGCTGCCAGCAGGCACAGGCAGGGCTGCGGGACGTGTGTCAAGGCAGCCCTCAGGCAAACCACAGAGGAGGGATAAACTGTGCCCGGGCGTTCCTGGGGAGCAGAGCCAGCCCCACGTACGGCCCCCAGGACAGTGCTCATGCTGCAGTGCCCAGCCTCCGCCACCAATGAAGATGAGGGGGCCTGACCGGTTTGCAGGCAGGAGGGAACCACGCAGCCCAGTGGCTGGTCCTCCCCATGTTTCGCTGGGGCTGGAGGGCTTGAGAGCGATGGCACGTGTGCCCCAGCATGTACCTCCTCTTGCCTGGGAGAGAGCAGGGACACTGTGCAGGCTGCCCTCCAAGGGCAAGGGCTCCCAAGTATGAGTGGCCTGGCTGGGCTGCCTGGGAACAGGGCCAGCAAAGCAGTGCCAGCCAGACAGGGACACTGCTGTCTCCAGATGCCATGTGACAGTGACAGGAAGGTCTGTGATGACCCGAGGAGCAGTCAGCGATGCTCTGACGCTCACCTCCTGACGCCCGCACTCGGGGGGAGGACCAGGTCTCCAAGCCCCATCATTGCTGACAGGGTCTGCCCCAGCTGAGGCACCTCCGTGTGCTCTGTTTGTTGCCATCTGAATGTCAGTCTGGCTGGCACTGCCCTGTCCTGTCCCGCTCTCGCATTTTGTGTGCGCTGGAAGGGAGGGGAGGAGGGTTGGGGAGCCCCGGGGGGACAAACATCAACTTGCACTGCACGGTGCCAGTAAGGGCACATGCTCTTGTTGCACATCCCTGTTTGCATTGTCCAGAGAGGCTCCAGGAGGGGTTGAGTCTTGCTGGCCCCTCCTGGGGTGTAGCCATGGGATGATGGAGAATGGGGGTGGCATCTGCTGGGCTATTGATTGCTGGCACCTGAGCCGAGTACTAGTCCTGTGCTCGCACCCAGGCTCTCCCAGGCGCTTCGGCTGGGGTCCTCACTGCCTCCCCTTGCCCACTGGTGCTGGTGGGAGGAGCCGGCCGTGCTGTGCCCCCACACACCCTCCCATAGCAGTTTTGGGGCTGTAAACCCTGGGGCCAGGACACCAGGGACATGCTGGGCTCCCGGCCCCACACGGTGCTGCCTGGGGCATTCCCACGGGTGGCAAGCTGAGTCAGCGGGGCTGGGACTGGAGTGGGCGAAGGTGTGCCAGCCCATCCCCGCTTCCTCCCTGGCAGAGCCATGTGTGCCAGGCCAGGCTTTGTTGTGCTGGCCGTGTCTCCTAGGCAATGGAGGAGTTAACCAGCCACACCAGGGGAGGACACGCCTGTTGGGGACACCCCTCATGCGTGGGTGGGGGTGCGCCCTGACGCTGGTGGGTGCGCCCTGACCCGGGCTCTCCCAGCCACTGTTTAAATCCTGTGCATTGCCCTCTTCGCTGCTGCCTGCCAAAGAGCCCGGGTTCCCGGCATCAGGGGAGCCACAGGCAGGGGAGCCGCAGAGGGAGGGCAGGAGGAAGGAGAAGATGGGGACTGGGGTAAGACCACCCCTCGTGTGGCAAACCTCAGCTTCCAGTGCGGACCAGGGGGTATGTGGGAAGGATAGTCTCAGGAGCTGGGATTTCTAGTCTTGGTGCCGATGGGGAGAGAAGGGACCAGGGGTGGAGATGCCTCCATCGCTGTCAGTGAGCCGGGAGCGTGGTCCGCTCAGACTGCCGCGGAGCATGGGGAATCCATGGGCTGGGAGAGCTGCTGCTGTAATGTCCCCCTCTACCCAGGGACTTGGCGTCCTGTGTCCAGCAGCTGGGAATCAAACTTTCACAAAGCTGGCACAATTTTTCAGTGTACCAAGGGCTGTTGCAGAGTGTCTCCATGTTGGCCCAGCTCCCCACCACAGCCCTGGCTGGGAGATGAGGCTGACCTTCCCCGAGAGGGAACTTTGCAATGCTCCTTGAACCGATCTGACCACACTTCATCCCCTCCCCAGGACTTGGAGCAGCCACCAAACGAGGATGCCAACCTGTTACCCCAGCTGCAGCAGCTGGAGAGCACGCTGAGCGGCTGCACCAAGGAGGCCAGCAAGGACCAGGTCTTTGTGCGCATGGGCTACATGGCCTCCGAGCTCAAGCGCCTGGCCTCCAAGGTGCACAAGAATGAGCAGAGAACATCATTCCTGCAGGTGAGTGAGGGCTGACCAGGCTCTTCATGGGGGTTCCCCCGCCCTTTTTTTTTTTTTTCTTTTTCCTCCACCAAGCCCCTCCTGTCTACCCTGAGGTGGACACCCACCCGCATGCCAGGGCTCGGTGGGAGGTGGGTGGCCAGGCAGGCTCCTGGGGCTGGCCAGCAGTCCTCACACTGCCGGCATTCGTCCCCCAGACACTGTGTGAGACGCTGCACAGTGAGAACAAGGAGCTGCGAACCAAGCTGGAGCGGGACCTGGAGCAGAGAAACCAGGCGCTGGAGAAGCTCAGGTGAGGGTGGGCAGTGGGGAGGGGGATATGGGGCTGCCCTGGGTGCTTCTGCCCGCTGACCCGGCCCTTCTGCCTGCAGATGTGAGAACCAGGAGCTCCGGAGGATGGTGACGTTGAGCAGCCAGGACAGTGGGAAGAGGGAAGCTGCCGAGCAGCAGCAGGTGAGGGAGCAGCATCACCCTCGCAGGGGGCTGGGAAGGAGGCAGGGAGCCTGCTGTCACATCAGCAAATGTGGCCTCATTTTAATCAGGTCCCCAGTTTGTCCCAGTATGACCAGCAAGACTTCTCAGGGTCGATGAGGGGATGGGGGAGGCTGT